GGGAGCAAGAAGCAGGCTTCTTCCGATGAAGAAGATGAGGAAGATGAAGCTGGGGAGGATCACGGTAGCAAGAAGCAGGCTTCTTCCGATGAAGAAGATGAAGATGAGGCAGCACATAGGAGCGCGAAGCAGGCTTCTTCCGATGAAGAAGATGAAGATGAGGCAGCGCATAGGAGCACGAAGCAGGTTTCTTCCGATGAAGAAGATGAAGATGAGGAAGCGCATAAGAGCATGAAGCAGGTTTCATCCGATGAAGAAGATGAAGCTAAGGAAGAGCATACGAGCACGAAGCAGGCTTCTTCCGATGAAGAAGATAAAGAAGAAGAAGAAGAAAGGGAGGATCATGGGAGCAAGAAGCAGGTGCTTTGCGATGAGGGTGATGAAGGCGAAGAAGAACAAAAACATGAAGAAGATGCAAGTGAAGAAGATGAAGAGGACGGGGAGGCATCTGATGTACCCTCCAACTCCAATGAAGTTGAAGACAAAGATGAGGATCTCAAAGAGGTTTCTTCCGATGAGGAAAACACCGGTCAAAATCACAGCAGAAACACGAAGCAAGTGCCTTCGGACAGTGGTGAAGATGAAGACGGCTTGAATCAAGAAAACAATCCGCCCAATGATTCAACCAGAGAAGACACCAATGATGAAGGAAAACGTGGGATGAGCGAGCATACTGGGACTGCTTCCAACCAGGGCAGCCAAAGGAAGAACAGTGGAAAGCAACGTCCTAGCGCAGGAGCACTTGGTTTCTCAACAGCAGGCTTGTCCGACAAGCAGGTGGAAAATATTTTGAGTGGCAAGGCCATGCCCAAGGGAAGAGCAAAAGCAAAAGCGACACCAAAGAAGAAATTCACAAGGAAGGACAAGGCAGTGACTAGCGTGACTAGCGCACAAGCTGAGAACAAAGATGGTGATGATGAAGACGACGATGAAAAAAACACTTGTAGCGATGACAGCACTGATGACAGCACCAAGAAGAAGAACAACGGTGGCAGTAGCAGCACTAACAGCAGCACAAGCAGCAGCACAAGCAACAGCGACAGCGATGACAGCAAAAATGCACCAACGAAGGGTGAGCTGGAGGAGAAGGCCCGGCTCATCCGCATCAGACATGAGTTTCCACGAACCAATATCAGGAGGTGGACGACGCCAGGCCCTATGTTTGAGATACCTTCTAACCTACCAAGCAAGCAAGCACTTCTAAAAGCCCGTAAGCGGTTACGTCAGCTCAAGATTGAAAAATGGGTGGATAGACATCCAACTGAAGCAATGACAATGCTTCCAGACACTGTGCCAAGCTCTGATGCTCGTGCTTTTGCTATGGCTTGCCTACAGGAGAAGAGTGGTGATGATGAGAAGGTTGAGGAGCACAAGAGGAAGCAGGTCAAGCGAGGCCGGAAGGACAACGAGTCATGCCCATCTGCGGTTGAGAGGGCTGCTTCACCATTGCCAATCCCAACCCACCGTCGTCGAACCAAAAGCTTTCGAAACTTGGTCGCTAAATCACAAATTGAAAACTTGCGATGGAAGGAAGATAAGCCAAACCCATGTCCCAACTAGAAGTTTTGGTTAAAAATCTAAACTGGAAACTAGGAATAATAAGCCAAAACCCATGTCCCAACTCAAGTGTTTCCTATAGCCTCAATTCAACTCAATTCTTTGACCCCAAAACCTCTAATCCTAGGAAGTCCTCAGCCGACCTCGGCTGAAAGTGGTAACATCAATGCGGACACCGCCAAGAAGACTCCTGAGCCCATCGAAACGAACAAAAAGAAAGCACCTTGTCAAAGTTGCTGTTGCCACATTGCGTAGATTCCTGCAAGCTGTTGCGTGCGACGTTCTTTGCATTGGCCACTTGGCCCTAACCTAGGCACCCGTGGTCAACAGAGTCACCTCGAAGGACTTTCCTTGTTCGACATTCAACTGTGCAATTGCTAGGATCCAAAAAGTAGCTCTATCTCAAGCAAACGCGAAAGTTCCGTGCCCTGAAGAGCAGCTAGCTTTGTTACGACAAAAGAAAGGAAAAGAAGAAAGGTTGAAGCTTAGCTCAAACCATAGCTATCAGTTATGTAAAATTCTTGGCTGATCAACATACCAGACCCCTATTCTATCTAAGGAAGTATGATCTCGTTGAGCGTTCTGACAAGCAGGACGGCTGGGTGCTCGAAATTCGGAAGAGGATGAGCGGAAAACTGAAGGGCTCAACATACAAGGTGTTTATAGCTCCGGATGGAGGGAAACACTACTCTGCACCAGCGGCAGAGAAAGCGGGGTTCAAACGGACCAAATCGTGTGATGGCCGGAAGAAG